GCCATCGTCGGGAGAGATTCGTCGAGGGGCTGCGGTGGTCTGCGTCCCAGGCAGTCCCTTCCGCCGTCCTCCGAGGCCTCGGTGAGAAACCCACTTTGTGTTTTGTGTAAAATCGTAATAAACGGAGGAAATCACATTGAAAATGCAAGAACACTGTGCGGTACTGTTAACGCGAACGAGCGATCGCAGGATTTCTTTCTGGTTTTCTCGTGGAATTTCAAGGCTCCATAAAAACTAGTCTGAAAGAAAGTGCTCGTTTTGCGCTCTAATAATCCAATGTCGTGTTCGCGCTTACCGTGTCGCACATTGTACACAAATCTCGACAGCGTTCGAGCCTCTGAACCCCAACCTGTAGTGTGATAGAACTCCAGTCTGCTGCAGACCACAATGTGCACAAATTCTTTGCTCGACTAGAAATATATGCGTTTTATATTGAAACATTTCTGCCTAGCCAGCGAGAAAGAACAAATGCTGTTTCATGTTGAGGAGGAACTATATGTTTTGTTGCAATACAGTAGAGGGGCAGCAGTGATAACAGTGAATTTGCTTTGCAGCCCCCACTGCCAGCAGAGCTGCTCTACCTCGAGGAGAGTCTGGGGGTGATCCAGAGGAGCCTGTTCAGCCGGCCAGCGAGCCAGCTGCTTCAGGAGCTGGACCGCCGGCTGTTGATTATGGTGAATAGAGACTCGCTTCCATTTTCACAAGAAACATACGAGTTCGGTAATCTTTGCATGCATCGAGAAAAGCTACCAATGGCTTTTACATCTCACTCCAATGAAATGGCATGCCATTTGAGTGACAGCACCATTATCATGGCCGTGCAGGTGGTCACTAGTGGTACATGATCACAGCTTTGATATACTACTCCTCTCAAATGCAATAATCTATTTTTGTTTTTAAGCTTCGCAAGTTGAGCAATTGATATTAGAATTTTTTTTTTGGCATGGCAGTTATACAAATGCTCTAAAGATATAAAATTTATGAACAGCAATGCAAATGAATCTGCTAGCTGAATCGAGTTGACAGAAGTGATGCTGCCACACGTTCCAGTAGTTTGTGACGTGCGTGAAGGTAATGTTTAATTATGCCCAATTTATACAGGGTTCACTGTTTGTTTCCACACTGATATTGTGTGTTGCTTGTGGCCCATTCATACTGGGAGCTGACCCGCAAAGCAGTTCAGAGTGTGAAGTTAAAGGATATACTGAATCAAAACTTAAAATATACCTTCGACGTTCAAAAATAAGTTAACCATCATATCAACTCTATCTGCTAATGACAATCGCATGCTTGTATTTCAAATGGATGGCTGTATTTTTCATTCTAAATGTTCGATTCTGGCGAGTGCTTCAAAATCGGCCATAGAAAAACGCGGTACACCACAAAACTTTGCGTGAATGGTATGTTGTACGGAGACCCATCTGCATAAACACGGCAGAAGAGGCGTAAAATGCACATGGTGCAATTCTGATCCCAATTTTTATGTTGGCACGCACATGGTGCAAACTTAAAAAAGTGTGGATGAAAGCAGCAATGCTCGACAGCCTTCTCCTTGCTGTTTACAGCTCTCCTGGATCCCCCCAGGACACAGTCACAGAGCTGTCCCCCAAGGCGACGGAGGGACGAGCCCACAATAAGGGACATTCTTGATGTGCAGAAAGCAGTCCTGACTGCACAGCAGGAAACTGCGGCAGCCATCAACCGCTTGGCCAATGCAAGTATTGTACTCGCAGTTTATATTGTTGTGTGGTGGCCTATTATGGCAAGAAGCAAACTTTGTTTCCATTATTATGATGCGAGTTCACAGTGTTGCATTTGCATCATTCAGTGCCAGTGAAGGACACTTTAGGGATTGCCAATGGTCTGTACAGCATTCTACTTATGCATCTCTGAGTAGCACCATTTTGTTCGTCTGTAGCACAATTTACACAAATCCGAGCGTATTGCTATATGCGTGGCCAAATGGTTACCTTGCTTGGCTTTCACACTGAGGTTCGATTCTTGGGAGAAACACAGCTTTTTGTTATTTCTGTAAATGTCGCATTCTGGTAAATTCAAGAACCCTGTTGCTTGTTCGAGGTCCGAATGTTCTGTGTGCCGAACCTTCTATGTGGATTGTTCAAGAAGAACACGCATGTACACAAGGGGCTCCGTGTGGCGAGCCAGAGTCTGTTTTCCACCAGCGATCCTGCTGTTACGCCGTGAACTGGAACAAAAAGTTTAATGGGGCCAACTTGTGCTCAAAACAAAGAAAAAACGAGCATCGCAGGCGTTGATGGCGGCATTTCAGCAGGATCAAGCGCCGGGGCGAGTCCGATTCCGGCTCGCCACGCAGAGCCTTTCATGTACATGCATGGGCTTCTGGAACAATCGGCATAGAAGGTTCGGCACATAGAACATTCAGAACTCTAACAAGCGACAAGGTTCTGGAATTTACCAGAATGCGACATTTACAGAAATAACAAAAAGCTGCGTTGTTCCCAGGAATCAGAACCTGGGGCATTTGCGTATGAAAGCGAAGCACGGTAACCATTCGGCCACGCACGCACTCGCTCGGTCATGCACATGGCAATGTTACTTGATTCACCGGGTCGAAGAGGAGCTTGAGCGGGTGGACTCTACACCCTCTTCATGTTTTGCTGCAGGCGAAAGCACAATTTTATCCAGCACAGAAAGAAAAAAGAAAATATTTTCTTGGTGTGCTGCTGACAAAAGAAACAAAATAATGGTCCTTGGTGTGCCACTAACAACAAGCAGACAGGTCTTCACAATTCTTATATTTACATAAATTGTCATATTTAAACAGAATGACACAACACAAACGATTGATCGAGCAAGTATGAACTAAACATCAGAAAATACACTTAAAAACTACAGGGTTAGGTTAATACAAAGATTGTACCAGTAGCCACAAGCAATGCCAACACAGCTAAAAATAACAATACGCAGGAACTACACTACGTACATCACAATAACTCTATGCACTTGTATGCTTAGAACACTAGGAGTGTTTTTTGAAAAAAAAAAGCATAATGTACTATCGGGGAAAAATGAAATGCGAACAGAGGAGCGCGTGGCTCGCGGTACAGGCTGCGCCGCCTGGAAGTGAGCCTAGGAGCGAGAGTGCGTGGCCTACTTCGATGTGTTCATGCCGCTCGATTGGCGCTCCCCCAGCTTCGGCAGCGCGCCTCTCAGTGCGCTGAAAGCTGTCACCGCTATTTTTGCCTGCTCGGCGAGTGCGGCGAGATTCTTTGCACCGCACGCGCTGAGCCAGCAAAGATAGCGCTGATAGCTTTCAGCGCACTAAGAGACGCACTGCTGAAGCTTGAGAGCGCAGAGGGAGGGGCGTGAACACGTCGTAGTAGGCCACGCACCCTCGCTCCTAGGCTCACTTCCAGGCGGCGCAGCCTGTACCGTGAGCCACGCGCTCCTCTGTTCGCATTTCATTTTTCCCCGATAGTACATTGCACAATAGTGCCTCTTTGTACAAAGGATGCACTGAATCTTACAAAAATCACGTAGCCATAAACTTACAAAACAGTATATCATTATGGCATATTTGCAGAATACATTTGTTTCACAAATTTCAATTGATTTCTTGCATTGTACATCTCTTTTCAGGCTGCAGAGGTGCAGGCCTCAGCGCTAAGCAGACTGGTGGATTTTTTCGTCAATAAGCAAGGCCAAACGTAATAAAAAAATTGCAAAATAAAAAACAATGTTCGTTTCCCTTAATAGAATTCAGAAACGAACCATTAAAGTTAATTAATTTTTCATGAGATAAAAAGAAAAAGTCAAATTTGGGAGTTCTATGTGCCAAACCAACGGGCATCTGGCATACCCCAGCAGAGTGAAGTACGGTGAAACAGGTGTCGTGGTGCAACTGCAAAGTACTCTTTCCCGTCTCTTAAATCGTTTGAAGGAATTAAACATAAAAATTGTCTATATTAAACAAATATTTGCTTTCATTTTTTGTTGAGCCTTCAAAGTTTGTGTAGATGCATAACGTATGGTCCTTTTCATTGTTTTTTTTTTCATAGGAATAATTACATATACTATTTCTTTTTGTTTGTTAATTGTTTTCTGTGCTTTGTTTATGCTGCTGCTGAGGGGAGATGGTGACCTGTCAAGCAACTGTTCTGTTGCTGTTTTTCTCTGTTTTCTCTCTCCAAATGAACAAAGATAAAGAATTTTGATTTGACTTGAACTTTCAAGTTTGGTGTGGTGTCTGTACAGTCTGCACTCCCAGCGGTGCAGGGGGTGCCCGCTGTCCACGAGGTGCTCGCTGTCGACGAGTTGTCCGCTGTTGGCGAGGTGCCTGCTGTTGACGAGGGGCCCTTGGTGTCTGTTGTTGGCGGGAGGTCGATAACCTCCTGCGAGCCCCACTTGTAGCCAGCTGTCGTATTTTTCCCTGGCGGATAACCATGCCCCGGTCGTGAAGATTACCTGCCAAGGCGTCATCAGAATCCGTGTCACTTGAGCTGCTAGACTCGGCTACTGGGACAGCAGGGACCGGCTCCGGCTCGGGGACTGGCTCAGGCACATTAATGTAGAGGCACACGTTGTGGAGGATCGCACAGGCCGTTGTAATGTTGCAAGACCTGATGGGGTCATACTGCAAGGTTCTATACCTTTGCAGGCATCGAAAGCGGTTCTTAAGCATGCCTATACAACGTTCTACAACTGATCTTGTAGATCGGGGTGCCCGGTTGAAGCGGGCTTCGTCGGTTGCCGCTGCATGGTTGCCTGGCACTGGGGTCATGAGCCATGGCTCAAGTGGATATCCACTGTCCCCTGCATTAAATTGGCGACAGTGGTTTGTTATTTCAGATTCTGGTGTAAATTGATATCACTTTCAAATACAAATTTGTTGGTACCTTTGTCCTGCTACATGCATTTATCACACATTTAAATCCTTTGTTCAGTGCATCGGGCAAGGAAAGGGATCAATTTGTCAAGTCACAAAAGTACCTGCACCTCTTGTGCAGTATACTGTATTTCTAAGTACCTGTAAGCAAATTCCTTTCAAGGATTAGCCTTCTTGGAGGGCGGAGCTTCAAGTAGCAGGCTAACGTAGGAAATTATTTTCATAATACAAGCACCATGAGTTGAGTAGTGCAGACCTTGTATGTTAATTGCACTGGCGCTTTGACATTTTGCCAGCTATCTGACATGGTGAGTTTTGCTTGGCAGCAACTTCAAAAATTTCTACATTATTTGCAGTTTGAAAATATGATGGGTTGCCTCATTTAGCTGGGACAACTTGGTATCATCCTTTTCAAAAAGCCACAATGTTGAACGAACATGCAGTGACAAGTAAGCATGACTGAGTTGGGAACGTCTTGATGTCTCCCAGATAAATATTTGCACTGTCGAGTGTCCGTATTATGCAACTGTATGGTTTGGAGAGCCTCCCAAACTGGACATTGGCTCAGAGGTACAGCCTATAGGAACAGCGGACGAGCCTCATGGAGACATAACTGCAATATTAGCATGCCAGATCGAATCAACACAGCATTACACAGGAGTCCACCTCATCAGAAACGTTTGAGTCACGTCATTGTCACCAACTGATGTCACACAGGGACACTAAATACGGTTAAGGGCTCGTATATGCATTCCAAGCCTCACCAAGTAGGCACTCATTTTCTCGCACGGCGTGTCCTTGCAGGAATGCCTCCCTCAGGAAGGACATTCGCCAGACAAATGAATCGTGGACAGAGCCAGGGAAGGTGGCATCGATGCTCTGAATGCAGAGGTCAGCATCGCAAACCTGGAAAAGTGTAGAGCGGAAATGTAGAAACCATTTTCTTTGCAATATGCTTTCGAACTATCTGCAGGGACTCCTGCCACAAACCAAAACACATGTTTGTGTTACTTAAGACTTGACGACATATGCAGCCACCAGCTGGTCGTGAACACCAGTATATTACTCACTCGTATTAATCGTAACGAATACTGACATGTCTCCATGCTGATTGAGTTGCTGCTACAAATATAGCTCCAAGCCACGAACGTGCTGGGGTCATAGACCCTAGTATATTCAGGACTTACATTGATCGCAGCAGGTACTGACATGTCTCTGTATCGATTAAGTTACATGCCGATTAGAGGAACTCGGTATACTCACAATCATTGCGTTCAGCGCATAGTAGTTTTTCCTGCACCAGTAGGCAGCCTTGGTAAACCGCGGGTCGTTCTCAGACGGGCCCTTGATGGCGATCTGGGTGCCGTCCACGCATCCTGTGACATGATAAGGTTATTAGATCCAGCTTTAGGCAAATCTACTGTTCACAAAAAGAAAGTTCAATGGCGCGACGGGAGCGGCGCAAAAAGAACTCCTGTCCCGAGCACGTCGCGAGCACTCCGCGAGCAGTCATCCTTCGACGATCGCTCGGGAATGCACGCGTATCTGTTCCTTAAAGCTCTCGGACACGTTGGATGAACAAAATCGCTCAATACGTACCGACAACACCGCTGATTTTGGCGACTCTCCAGTAGCCCTCCTTCGCTCTCGCTTTCTCATCCTCCGTTGTCGGGAAGCGAATCCAGCGATCCGCCAGGCGCTCGACGATCGCAGTCGTGACGGCGTGGAGTGCACGAGACACGGTACTTTGGTGTACCGCCAAGTGCTCGTCAGTAGCCACCGTCCCTTGAAACCCGCCGGCCGCGTAGAAACGCAGGGCGCACAGCACCTGCTGCTCCACGGTGATCACTCGAACGGTCGTGCGGTCCGGTTGCAGGTCGGGGCGGAGCTGCTCGCACAGCCACCTCGTCGCTCCCTTCGTCAGTCGGTAGTTCGCTACAAACCTATCCTCCGAAAGGAGAAAGGCGTCGCGGTGCTCCCGAAACACTCGGTCGGCGCGCTGGGAGACCAGCAGCGCACAACAAAGTTCCGCCATCTTTACCGATAAACTTCGCAACTTCGAGCTCCCAAACTCTCGAAGTTTTCTTTACAGAAACAACTTCATCGTGACGACATTCTGACGTCACGGCAAACTTCACAATTTTGACGAGCATGCACCAAACTTTACCGCCAGAACTTTACTCTGACGTCAGGGCTCGTCCCCAGGAGCAGCAGCCAATGGGCGACTGATGAAGTTTTCTTTACAATGAAGTTTGCGCCACCAGCATAGACAGACAGGTCGGCCGCCCGCCGAAGAATTTCAACCTCTAACGGCGTCAGGTCCTCGAGCGTAGAGAACTCCGCCATGATCGAAGCTCGAATGACAAAGAAGTTCGGCTGGTGCGGCTACCTCAGAATCACTGTGCGACGGAACGTCGTCCAACACCATTGGCCCGAGATTGTTTTGATATGTGAGCGGTGACCAATGAGAGTGATTTCGTTTTTGGGTGGATCTGAGGTTTGGCGGCCTTCAGTTATATTTTTATTAAAAAAATAATCACCGTATGATTATATTTGTTTGGTTTTTAGGGATACTTAGGGTGTCTAGATTCAGTTGTCATTATCAAAACACGAACTCAAAAACCACTTGAGTGCCCCTTTAATTTAGGGTGTGATTCCGCTGTACACCTTTTCATTACGGTGTTGTGACTGCACAGTACGCCCTCCGAATTCGGTATACGGCCGTCAGAAAGGGAAATAAAAAAAAGCGCGATGGCCGACACCCATAAATTAGGGTGTGATAACACAAAAGGGTGCACGAAAAAATGACTGCAAATGAGTCGAAACATGCCCGGTTCACTTTTTTATTTTTCCACCAAGGTTCTATCAGGTTCTACTAAGTGCGCTATAGACGATTGCAAGCAGGCCCTCTGGCCGCAGCCATGTCTCTGCTTGTGCGGCAATTGGAGATACGTGCACGTACTCGTGCCGCGTGACGAAGGCGGGTGCGCAAGAAGTGAATACCCGTGGCTCGGAGTCCCGTAGAAACAATTTTGCCGCCCACCGCGCCGTCATTTCCGAGTCGCATACGCGGGTTCGCGTCCGAAGTATGTCGACGGAGAAACCCTGTGCACGCTCTTAAAGACCGACCAACGAAACCATTTTCCGCAAGGTAGGAAAATGGCCCTCGCGCCCTCCTCTTTTCACCCTCTCCCGAAAATCACGTGACGGCAGGGGCTTCTTTTGTGTCGGCTTTTTCTGTAGGGATAATCCTCAAAAAGCGCGAAACGAGCGGCTAGCTGCGAGCGCCACGGCGACCTTGAGTCGTCCAGGTGTCTTCCCTTGTTGACGCGGGCACGCTCATTCCGCGAGATTGAGGAAGCCAGCGCGACCGAACGCGTTTTCCCTTGAGCTGCAGGTTCGAGGCCGCTCGGTCGGTGAAGATCAAGGGGTCGTGGTATGCTGCGTTCGTTCCAGCAGTCGAACATGGTTAAAATTGCGCACAAATAGAAAGGAACAGAGAAGAGGGAAGAGAGAAGAGACAAGCGCAAACTCACAACTCGATGTATTGATGGAAGAATGCGCAATTTTAACCATGTTCAATCATTACCAACTCGCCCAACTAACCACTTTATTCCAGCAGTCGCTCTCTGGCATCGCGCGGCTGCTGGAACCATTTCCGTGTCTGCACACGGATTGGCTTCCGCAATAAAGGGTTCAGGTCATCGATAATACATTTATTTACGAAACTTATAAATCAAGTGGCTTTCCCTAATCTCTTCATTACTGTTTGAGACACATCTCCTCTCATAGATTGTTCATCCCATTTTGGACTCTGCGTATTTATTCATCCTTACCTCTTCTTGATGTATGTTTTATTACTTGATAAAGACCTTCAAATATTGGCGCGGGCTTGCGCGATCAACGCTGTACCGGATTTATCCAATATTGGAAAGATTGGCGCCAGGAGCGTGGAAGGAGGGTGGAAGAAGCAAACCGAAATTCTTGCTTCTAATGAAGACGGTACAATCATAAGATAGGTCTTTGCTTCACTTGCCTCCACAACGCCCCATCGTTTGCACTATCGCAACTTCTCAGTAACATAGATGTATACCACATTTTACTCATGGTGGACCCACAGGCTTTCCCGTTATGAGCGAGTCGACTTTTTAACGACCGGCGACTCTCCTGAGTAAGAATAAATATTATCACCTTTCCACAACATCCGCCCCTTTCTCTCTTCCCCCCCCCCCCCCCCCCCCCCCTTTCCCGACTTGGGGAGATATCACGCCACTCCAGGAAGCAGCCTGCAGACTGCGCTTTTCGGCTACTCATTCTCAACACATTCGAACGTGGAAGTAAACACATTGCATGAACGACGCCCAGTTTATTTGCAACCTAAATAATGTGGCTCCACCGTTGGAACAGAATCAATTTCATCATCAATCATTATTTGTTACGATTTTATAGTGAAAGTGTGTTCGTCGTGGTGCCACAAAAGCGATCGATTCAAAGGGAGAAATGAGTCCTCGTATTTATTTTGCGGAAATACTCGCTCCTGTGCCGCTCTAGTGCGTAAAGTCAGAGCACCCGAGGCAGTGCGTAATACTTTACAACTGTCGTTGGCCATGAAATATTTGTGGGAAGTGGGTAAAATTGTGTACGCCACAAAAGCATATTTAAACGCAACAAAATATCGCAATTGCAAAAAAAAAAAAAAAGTCAGCCTGCGAAATTCGTCGCTTTCCACTTTCTCTCTCTCTTTTTTCGCGCCACTACAAAAATAGCGGCCGAGCAACGAAATTCTATCAAAACCTCGCTTCTTGGAGAAACGGCAACAGGCTATACAATAGTGAATCTGACAGGGAATTTGTACAAATAATAGGCGACCATTGAATCTAGCCTTCTGCACAAATCATGCCCGCGATATTTCCATTTTCCTTCCACGCAATTAGATGGCAAGACGCTGGGAGAATTCGTGTGCACTAACCTGCTGCTTCTAAAAGAAAGTACCAGATTTATAGTGCATATTAATTTAGATGTAAATAGTTTACTCAGTGTGCAAAAACATTCGCGACCTGGAGGATGACATGGAAGCATGGCGGAAAGCAGCTTGCTGGAAATAGAAGTCTCTATTGCATTGCACTGGTGTGAAAAATTATTCCATATTTTTGTTTTATTTCTGTGCGAAAATAAAAACAGCGTTTAGAAACCGAACACTGTGCGTTTCCAGGAGTGCCGAAAGGACATAAAAAACCGGGACAACCTGAACAATACGAGGCGCCTTGCGTCACTCAGCTTTTCTTGGTTTCTTGTTTTTCCGGAGCCTTTCAAAAGGGGATGAAAAATTATGAACCGATGGACCCGACTTGCCACATTAGAGCAGTTAATTTTCATTACGACAGACTGTATTCAAGCGTCTTGCATAGTTCAGCTTGTACTGGTCCGTTGTTTTTTTTATTTTCGATTCCTTTCAAAACGTGAGCTCGAAGCCACTAGACCAACCTACAACATTCATAAGTTACGGAAGCGGAGAAGTGGAAATGCGACAAAAGGGAAGATTCGCCCGCGTTATTTGTGGCCTATAGAAAAGCGGACCGGATAGAAGGGGGCCGTAATGCTTTTTTTAAAGAAACGCACATTCTTCTCTACAATTCTGTCAAGCAATTTGATATAAAGGTATACTTGGACGCCGGCATTATTCGTTTAGAAATCAAGCAAAACTTTGTACCGGATCATTATGCGTCTACGTCCACTCCCATTCGATGATGATCATGTTTTCGACTCCGTATCTGGGGTCGTTTTGACACCGGAAATCTCTCCCAGAAAGAAAGAAACGAAATTGATGTTGAATGAGCGCTGTTTATTTGCCTTATAATTCCAACCGTCAAAAAAATAGAAAACTCAGGTCTACGTCGTCGCCTTGTCCCCCGAGAAGGCTGTGAGTGGTGTCCATGAGAAGGCTGGGAAAGAAGAAACAGTTTTTAAATATCCTGTATTGGGACCAAAAACTATTGACATGTAATAACTGGGCTATTGGGGTATGAACAAGAACTTATATTTAAATAATGAAAAAGCATACCTAAGCTGCTAGCTTTATATATCTGCAATCACGTGGCATCAGGAGAGAAAGACGCAAGGAGAACCAGCTCCACAATCTTTCGAACAAAACTGAAAGAAAACAAGCAGACAATGAGCTGTAGATGAGAACAGCCTATAGCGCTAATCTACCTGTAGGTTTTCCTGACGTACTTCTTTTTTCCTCCCTGTCTGTCCGGGTGCCGGCAGTCCTCTATGCGGTAGAGAGACGTGTGTCCTCTTCCAACGTGCTCGTTCCAGTCTAACATGGCTAAGGTCTGCCGCATTTCATAGGTCGCATCTTGATAATGTATCCTCTTGTCCAGGTAGATGAGACTGGTGTTATTAAAAGACTCGACGTAAAACGTATCTTTGGATCGAACAGAATCTTCTGCGTTCTTGTACAATGTCGTTGATCTCAGGAATTGTGTCAGGAGTTCCAAGGCCACAAGATCCTTGATCAGTAGAGTTGTTGGGACATGTCCGTTCTCTTTGCAAGGGGAATCCACGCAGCACTCCTGAGGCCAGATTCACGAAGAGCTTCTTAGTTTACGACAACTTAGCTAAGAAGTTCGTAAGTTAAGAACATCGTAAGAGGAGGAGAAATCGGTA